GGGAGAGGACATTGACTCCATGGAAAGGTCGGCTTCTTTCCACACTCCTTAACCTTGTCCCCAAGTTTTCCGGTACCAGTGCGATCTCCACAATTTTCTGCTTCTTCTGGAGTCCCTCCCGAGATTTCTCCAAGGCTTTGGCCCCTCGAGAATCATAAGTTTTCATTAAAGCATCTTTATAAGATAACTTTAACGAATCCTTATAATTTCTTGGGTTTTCTCAGAGTTTCCCCGTCTCGGCATAGTCTTTTTTCGCGGAGTCAGAGTTTTCCTCGGCGATTTTCCCTGGCGAAGACAGGTCGTGGGGTGGAGATTCTCCCCCATCATTTCCTCCTGCTCGCGTCGAATAATCTTCGTTGAAGTTGATTTTTCCGGAATCCCGCGGCCGTTTTCGGATCTTTTCTTTTTTCGCCAGCTAGATCTGCAATCACTGGCGACTTCTGTTTTTTGTCTTCTGATTGGCCGAAGAAGTTCCGCCACTGTTGCGCGCCTGATACTCTGCACGTGCGCCTTTCATTTTGTTGCAGTCGAAGATTCGATGTCCCGGCACCCCGCAAAAATCACACATGAAGTTGGTGTTTTTCTTATGTGGCCGCCCGTCGAACCTGTCGATTTCCATCGGGTCGGCGAACGTGGGATGAGCCGAGCGGTCGCCCTATCGCATACTGCCGACGTGCGCCCGTCGTGTCCCGGGGTTGACCATGTCGAATCGCTCTGCTGCCGATACGACTTCACTGTAGCTCGCGTAATTTAGCGCTGCTACTTGTCGTTTGACTTCGGTCTTCAACCCGGCAAGATAGTACTGTACTTTTTCCACTTCGGTCAGGTCGGGAATGCGGTTATAAAATTCCTCCATCTGCTGCGTGTACTGTGCTACGCTCCCGAACTGTCGATGGCAGTGAATTTTTTCCCGGGCAAGGAAACCGGAATTTATCAGCTCGAAACCAGGGCTGTCGTTTAAAAAAAAAGCACCCTGAGCTGTCGAATGGGAAAAAAAAATTACCCTGAGGGCCTTGTGTTGGAATTTTAGCTTCTCTGATTTCTCAGTGTTCTGGAACTTACAACCGTGAAACCTCCAGGGTTGGCTAGCCATAAACAGGGTTGCATTGCTGAGCAACGAACGCGTTCAGGATTGCTTTCAACACGAGGGGAGAAAAAAAAATGGGGGGAAAAGGGGGAGGGAATCAAGCCGAGGGGAGGGGAAGAGCAAAACGGAGGGGAAGGGGGAGGATGGAAACATAGGGGAAGAGAGGAAGCGAAACGGGGAGGGAAAAAGTGGGGGGGGGGGGGGGGGGGGGGTTCGAAATACAGTAGAGAGGAATGGGAGAAGCGAAACGGAGGGGAAGGGGGAATCGAAACAGAGGGGAGAGGGGAAGCGAAATGGAGGGAGAGGTGGGGATCGAGGCGAATGGGGCAGTGGCAGAAACCTTCCGCGCTTGCAGCTCCATGGGCAAATCGAGGACGTTAATCGTACGCGATCATCTAACGACTGAAATTTGTCGAAACGATTGCGATTGATTGTGGCCGTCAAAGTTTGATGGACTTTCAGTTGACCACACGGGCAATAAAAAAACACCTGGAACACACGTCAAAGTTTTGAATGAGACTTTCACATTTTTTTTTAACTGCATTGGAATGAGAGTAAATTCCGCATTTTAAACATAGGGAAATTCTCGCCAGTTGCCCATTTGATCAACTGAAAGTCTAACAAAATGTAACGGTCACAATCGTTTGCGATCATTTCGACAAATATCAATCGTTCGATGGTAGGTAGTGATTAACGTCAAGGATTTCCCAACCGGGGCGCTGCAAGGGCGCGAAATTTCTCCCACCGCCTTATGCCCCAGCTTCCCCCCTTCCTACCATTTCGTTTCCCCCCTTCCCCTCCATTTTCGATTCCCCCCTCCCCTACGTTTCGATCACTTCCCCCTTCCCCTCCGTTCGCTTCCCCCATCCTCTCTGTTTCGACTCCCCCCCCCACGTTCCCCCCCTCTCCCCTCCGTTTCACTTCCCCCCTCCCCCCCATTTTGATTCCCTCCCCATTTCCCCGTCGGTTTCGATTCCCCCTCCCCTCAGTTTCGATTTCCGTGGCAGTGCGATTTTACCCCCTCGATTTTTAGGAATGGCTTCCCCGTTTCCCAGATTTAACAACGCAAAACAAGGGTTGACAGGGTTGCTGGTAGGGGGGTGGCGAGCCCTGGTTGTGGGAGTGTGGGAGGGGGGATAACTTGTGTACAATAGGACTAAGCCGTTTTTTTTTTGTGCTGTCCCTGCCTATCAAGTCTTAGCTAATTTTTGTGGGTTATTGTTAGGTGTGTAGGGGGGATGTCTGTACGACACATGACTTAGCCGATTTTTGTGGGTTGCTTGGTGTGTGAGGGAATGTTTTAGGACTTCACCAATTTTTGTAGGTTGTTGTGTGTGGGGGGGAATGTCTCTGGAGATTGGGGACTTCGACTAAATTTCCGCATTGTGAGCTACATGGATGTCGCACTCAGGGTTCGTACGCGTTACTCCCTGAAAACTCAGTTTTGGGATAACGCAAACCCTGAAATTCAAAGTGTTCACAGACATACAACCCTGAAGAGGTTAGGGTTCAAAAAAGCCCAACCTTGAAAATTAAGGGTTGGCCAAAAAAATACCCTGTGAAATCAGGGAATCAGGGTAAAATACCCTGATAGCGACAGGCCTGCTCGAAACGTTTCAGCAGGTCGGTGCGGAACTGCTCCCACGTGGCTTCGCCGTGGATGAAGGTGTTGTTACCGCCGATCCACTCGAGTGCCGGTCCTTGCATCAGTGTCGCCGCGAGTCGTACGCGTTGACCGTCCCAGACTGGCAAGCTCCATCCGACAGCTGCGAAGTAGATCTCCATGCCGGCGATCCATCTGCGAACGTCGGAATTTCGATCGCTCGGATCGAACGGCTCAGGTGGTGGAGTTGCTGGGTAACCTTGGCGTTGTCGAAGGTCGCCATCCTGTTCAAAACACTCGCGGAGGGGATAATTCGAAAAATGCGGAGCTGGTGCTTACCAGAATCGGCGCCGAACTAGTCGCCCTCGACAGTTTTTCGAGGCAGGTTTTCCCGCTGCTGCTTCTTTGCTGAGCGCGGCCGAGTGAGAAAGTTTATGATTACCAAGTGTCACATGATCGAATGTCTCGAGGGAAGGTTGCACTATCGATCGATACATGGTGCTTTTATACTTCCAGAGTACATCCGGTTCTTAGAAACTTAGGAGGCTATGTCCCTTCAGTTAGGACACTAGCTTAGCTAGGATACTTGGAAGGCCGCCATAGAATGGCGTGAGGAATATGGATCTAGGAGGGGAGAGAATGTCGAGAAGAAAGAGGGTTGGATTAGGAAGGAAGAGAGGTACAAGGAGGGGATTGTACCCTCTACAGAAAGGTTCAGTAACAACCTACCAAGCCTATATAAATTATAACTTAGATCATTTTAACACACCCCCTAGGCTTGGTAGTCACACACCCACCCAACCCACCCCCTAACCCCGCACACCCTCAAGCTCGTGCTTAGCCGGGTATCTGACCCTCGTGCAAAGCGTTGACACACCCCCGTACACAAGGCAGCCGACGGCGTCTGGGCGGGTCAGCGACGCAGCGGAGCTCTGGCTCAAGGCGGCTGGGTCGCTGACGACAGGCGGCGACAGTCGCGGCTGAGGGCTCTCGGCGGTGTGGCAACGTCTGGGCAGAAGACAGCAGCTGCGACAGGAGGAAGGGAAGATGCAGGGGGGAAGGGAGATTGGGGGGGGGGGGGGGGGGGGGGGGGGGCGGGTCTTCAGCGTCGTGCCATAAATGGCGCGGCTCTTACTGGCAGGACGACGGCGTCCTGAGGGACGCCCGTGGCTGACGAGCGGGCGGCAGGCCCGGCGACGCCAACGACGTCGCTTGGCCGGCCGCAGACGAAAGACGCCATCGACTGCCCTAGACGCCGCCACAGCGCACCGTCAATGCCGCAGCGGCGAGGCGGACGGGCGACGGCAGGCACCAAGGGGCCGTCGCGACATCTTGGTGCCGCGACGGCAGGCAACAAGGGGCCGTCGCGACATCCTGGCGCCGCGACGGCAGGCAACAAGGGGCCGTCGCGACATCTTAGTGCCGCGACGGCAGGCAGGCAGAAAACCGCGAAGGCTGCGAATGCAGCAGGAGTACGCAACGGGAACGTAGGGAGAGGGTCCGGTGGACACGACCGTCTCTGATACCATCTTAGAAACTTAGGAGGCTAGGTCCCTAAAGTTAGGACACTAGCTTAGCTAGGATACTAGGAAGGCCGCCAAAGAATGGCGTGAGGAATATGGATCTAGGAGGGGAGAGAATGTCGAGAAGAAAGAGGGTTGGATTAGGAAGGAAGAGAGGTACAAGGAGGGGATTGTACCCTCTACAGAAAGGTTCAGTAACAACCTACCAAGCCTATATAAATTATAACTTAGATAATTTTAACACCGGTAACCAAGTTTATCCTATCCAAAGGGAATAGACCATTCTAGAAATAGAATCACCCTGCGTATAGCCACGCGAGGCTATTGGCTTTAAGGGATTACGGTAGGATTACGTTAGACATAGCGCACCAGTACATCCCGACCCGAGCCTGGTCGGTGATATAATTATAATAACAGGATAAACCAAAGGATAATGGAAAATGAGGAATAGGAATCCAAATGGGATGAGATAAAGACCAAGTAGCAAGACTGCTAAGTCAGCAAATAGCGCTCGTCATGAGGACAGCCGTTTCAGTCACGCGAACATTCGCGTCTCTTCAGTGTCATTTAGGGCGCATAGCGCGATAGTGTCGAACAGGTACTTCTGTTAGATATAAAAGTAGCCTATCTTCATTGTTTAGTTGGTAACTTGATTCGGAACTTAATTCTGAACTTGTTCCTGAACTTGTTCTTCAGTAAATTCTGGTCATTACTCTACAAGTTCTAAGACTTCTGCTGTCTCACTAGTCTACCATTCCAGTAAAGATCCTAGGCTAACACTTGAGGTTTTCCAAGTGTTCGTGTTTGCAGATTCTATACTTAGTCTCCCCCGACACCTGTCAAATTACCGTATTACAGCAACAAACAGTAAAACGAGTTCTTTCGTCATTCCTCCAATCAGCAAGCTCGACTAGAATTCGTTTCGATGCACTTTTCTTGTTCAGGCTTGAACTCAGAGCTCCCTTCTATTCGATACTAAGACGGATTTCAAAGCACCAAATTCAAGTGGTTTGTGTTAAAATTATATAAGTTATAATTTTATATAGGCTTGGTAGGTTGCTACTGAACCTTTCTGTAGGGGGTACAAACCCCTCCTTGTACTCCCTTCTCTTCCTAATCCAACACTCTTTCTTCTCGACTTTCCTCCTACTCCTAGATCCGTTTTTCCTAGCGCCGTTCCATGGCGGCCTTGCTCCTATCCTAGCTAAGCTAGTGTCCTAACTTTAGGGACCTAGCATCCTAAGTTCTTAACATGGTATCAGAGCAGGAGATCCTTCCTGCTGGACTGCCTCCTCTCGCTTCCGCCATTTACTCCTCACCCTCATTCACTCCAGCGGCCATGGCGGCCGCGTTTTGCTGCAGTGGCGACGTCGCGCTGCCACTGGGCGCGTCGTGCCGCGACCGGCCCGACGCGCTGCCGCGGAGTCGGGCCGTTGTTCTGCAGTCGCAGCGTCGACGCCCCGCTGCGGCATCGACGCTGCCATGGCGGCCGCGGCGACGTCACGCTGTGGCGTCGTCGTCTTTTCGCTGGCTGCGCCGTCCTGCCGCGGCCGTCTCGACACGCGACCGGGACGACGTCAGCGCGACGCCGCGGCCGTCTCGACACGCGACCGGGACGACGTCAGCGCGACGCCGCGGCTGCGCCCCTCCTGGGCCTCGTCGCGCCCTGCCTGGCCTCGTCGCACCCGCTCGGCCCCGTCGCGCCCTGCATGGGCCTCGTCGCGCCCTGCCTGGCCTCGTCGCACCCGCTCGGCCCCGTCGCGCCCTGCCTGGCCCCGTCTTCACCTGCCCGGCCCCCTGCCAGTAAGCGCCGCGCCTCTTATGGCGCGTCGCTGATGACCCGCCTCGCCCCGCCCCCCCCCCCCCCTCCCCCCATTCTCCCTTCCCCCCCCTGCATCTTCCCTTCCTCCTGTCGCAGCTGCTGTCTTCTGCCCGGTCGTTGCCACATTGCCGAGAGCCCTCAGCCGCGGCAGTCGCCGCCTGTCGTCGGCGACCCAGCCGCCCTGAGCCAGAGCTCCGCGGCTGCTTGTCGCTGACCCGCCTAGACGCCGTCGGCTGCCTCGTGTACGGGGGTGTGTCAACGCTTTGCCTGAGGGTCAGATACCCGGCTAAGCACGAGCTTGAGGGTGTGCGGGGTTAGGGGGTGGGTTGGGTGCGGGTGTGGGGGTGTGAGTGGGCTTGACACTACCAAGCCTAGGGGGTGTGTTAAAATTATATAAGTTATAATTTTATATAGGCTTGGTAGGTTGCTACTGAACCTTTCTGTAGGGGGTACAAACCCCTCCTTGTACTCCCTTCTCTTCCTAATCCAACACTCTTTCTTCTCGACTTTCCTCCTACTCCTAGATCCGTTTTTCCTAGCGCCGTTCCATGGCGGCCTTGCTCCTATCCTAGCTAAGCTAGTGTCCTAACTTTAGGGACCTAGCATCCTAAGTTCTTAACAGTTTGCAGGTCTGCTATTTTATCCACGGGCTTTAATTATGGGAGGCAAGGATGATAAATCAACATGTCTAAAAACGAATCTTGGGGCCTGGTCTATAGCAATAACACATCTATACAGTCAGAGTTCATCCTTATGAAAAAACTGAAATTTCAGGATTGGGTGGCAGAAAAATCCTAGCAACTCAGGGCCGGTACAAGCAAACACTCTGAAAAAACCCTGAATCAGGGTAAATGGCCTGAAATCTGAGGGCCTGCTCTGCAGCCACAACACGTTAATTCATTTGGGTTTGGGGAAACTGAGGTACTGCATGAGGCGGCTAGCAGGGCGAGAAACCTCCTGCTTGCGAGTGAGGAAAGTCAGCAGGTCATCCAAAGCCTCGTTGAACTCTCCCGCATGCTCCTCCACCTGCACCACATCCAGCACGAGCACAAGCACGTGCAAAGAAATGGCATGTAAGAATTGAACTCGCCCACAAGGAAAGGGCAGTCAACAAGTCGTCCAAAGCCTCATTGAACTCGCCCCCGTGCGCCTACGGCAATAGTACGAGCAAAGCATGTATCATAGATGCATCGGCTTCCACACTAGTTTGAATGAACAGTGAAATGAGTAGGCTAAAGCCACATGGTCCGTGGACTAGTTCTCAGACAGTGTGCTCGTGGTCAGTGTAGTTTTGAGACGTCTCAAAACTGACTGCTCAATTCTTAGTGTGTTATGAGTCTATTTTTTAGTCGACTAAAAAATAGACTCAGGGCACACGAACTAGTAGTGAGTGCGCGAGGTTGTCGTGTAAATAACATGCGAGCATTAGAGTTGCTAGAGCACTCACCTCTTCCCAGGTGGGCGCGTCAGTGTCAAGGAAGAACTCAGAGAGCGGCCAGGGGAGCAGCGTTCACTCAGTGATGCACATCCAGAATGCGCTGAAATAGCAGTAGCAGCACCACCCACCTCTTCCCAGATGGGAGCATCGTCATCCAGGAAGAACTCAGCGAGCGGCGCGGCCAGGGGAGCAGAGTCGACACTGCGGTGCACGTCCAGGACGAGCTGCAGCAGGCTGTCCAGCCGCTCCCTGATGGGCGCATTCACCGGGTCCAGCAGGCACCTGCATGGCGCACAGGAAATCATGGGTTCAATCAGCCAAACGCCATCCTGCGGTGCACGTCTAGCATGAGCTGCAGCAGGCTCAACAGTTGCTCTCTCATGAGCTGCAGCAGGCTCAACAGTTGCTCTCTCATGAGCTGCAGCAGGCTCAACAGTCGCTCTCTCATGAGCTGCAGCAGGCTCAACAGTCGCTCTCTCATGAGCTGCAGCAGGCTCAACAGTCGCTCTCTCATGAGCTGCAGCAGGCTCAACAGTCGCTCTCTCATGAGCTGCAGCAGGCTCAACAGTCGCTCTCTCATGAGCTGCAGCAGGCTCAACAGTCGCTCTCTCATGAGCTGCAGCAGGCTCAACAGTTGCTCTCTCATGAGCTGCAGCAGGCTCAACAGTTGCTCTCTCATGAGCTGCAGCAGGCTCAACAGTCGCTCTCTCGTGAGCTGCAGCAGGCTCAACAGTCGCTCTCTCATGAGCTGCAGCAGGCTCAACAGTCGCTCTCTCATGAGCGCACTCCTGGGTCCAACAGACACTTGGCAAGGCATTTTGCTAGCTCAGACGTCCAAAGAGGTGCATGCAACGGGGTGCGTCCAAAGGCGTCCCATGGCATGCGTCCCATGTGGGCTCTGATTATAGCGGCAAAACGAGGAGGAAGGAACAGGAGAACAGGTGAACCCATACCTGGTTCTGCAGTAGAGCAGGAATTGCGCATGGGCCTCCTGGAACGATAGCAGGTCCTGGCAACAACACAAGGTTGGGTGGGAGTACAGCAGAGAGTGAGTGATTCCGCTGGGCAGGATGTAGTGCACGATGCCAGACCAACTCCTACTGACCCCACGTGAACAGGGCTTCAGATTGGTCTTATAGCCAGTCGTCACATCCAGGCTCCCTACTGAAACAACCTGTTAAAGTCCGTTTTCAGGCCAAAGGCCGCCAAAACCTAGGCTTACAGCCCGTTTTCGAGCCGAAATCGACCCGTTAACGAATGGGTTCGGTGATAACCGAATCCGTCAAGAAGGGAGTTCCGGCCAGAAACCACACGTTATAGAATCAAAATCCGGTAATTACACACCAAACATAGGCCGTGCTTGTGAAGCCCAAAGCCCACCTGTGGGTGCTCAGGTGTTGCCCTGAAGGGCTGCCGGCACAGCAGCCCCATGCTGTCCGGCAGCCCCATGCTGTCCGGCAGCCCCATGCTGTCCGGCAGCCCCATGCTGTCCGGCAGCCCCATGCTGTCCGGCAGCCCCATGCTGTCCGGCAGCCCCATGCTGTCCGGCAGCCCCATGCTGTCCGGCAGCCCCATGCTGTCCGGCAGCCCCATGCTGTCTGGCAGCCCCATGCTGTCCGGCAGCCCCATGCTGTCCGGGAGCCCCATGCTGTCCGGGAGCCCCATGCTGTCTGGCAGCCCCATGCTGTCTGGCAGCCCCATGCTGTCCATGCTGTCTGGCAGCCCCATGCTGTCTGGCAGCCCCATGCTGTCCGGCAGCCCCATGCTGTCTGGCAGCCCCATGCTGTCCGGCAGCCCCATGCTGTCCGGCAGCCCCATGCTGTCGGGCAGCCCCATGCTGTCCGGCAGCCCCATGCTGTCCGGCAGCCCCATGCTGTCCGGCAGCCCCATGCTGTCCGGCAGCCCCATGCTGTCCGGCAGCCCCATGCTGTCCGGCAGCCCCATGCTGTCCGGCAGCCCCATGCTGTCCGGCAGCCCCATGCGGTCCGGCAGCCCCATGCGGTCCGGCAGCCCCATGCGGTCCGGCAGCCCCATGCTGTCGGGCAGCCCCATGCTGTCGGGCAGCTCCATGCTGTCCGGCAGCCCCATGCTGACCGGGAGCCCCATGCTGTCTGGTAGCCCCATGCTGTCTGGCAGCCCCATGCTGTCTGGCAGCCCCATGCTGTCTGGCAGCCCCATGCTCTCTGGCAGCCCCATACTGTCTGGCAGCCCCATGCTGTCCGGCAGCCCCATGCTGTCTGGCAGCCCCATGCTGTCTGGCAGCCCCATGCTGTCTGGCAGCCCCATGCTGTCTGGCAGCTCCATGCTGTCCGGCAGCAGCGCTAACCGCCCCCATGTGCCCTGGCAACCATTCCCACCTGCGGGTGCCCTTGTTCGGGCTTGGAGGGCTGCGGGCACAGTAGCAGCATCTTGTCCGCCAGCAGTGCGGCTCGCTGCAGCTGAGCGCTCATGAAGGCGAGCGTGCCGGACACCAGGTGAGACGCGCGGATGCTGGTAGGGAGGGGGGGGGATAGGGCGGGAGGGCAGATATAGGGAGTAGTGGATGAATGGTACATTGGGGTGCGAGCAGAGCTGATCGCTGCACCTGTGTGATCATGAAGGCAAGCGTGCCGGTCACCAGGTGAGAGGCGTGGATGCTGGGGGAAGGGGCAGGATGAGGATCGAATGCGGAGAGGGGATGGGATGTGAGTGCATGCAGATGAGCTGCGAGTCATGGATGGTGGGGGGCGGGGGGAGCAGGAGTGGGAGCAGGATTGGGCTTGTGATGGGACAGGAGTGCTCATGAAGGCACATGGAAGCATGCTGGGGGGAAGGGAGAGGGAAGGAGCAGGAGTGTATGTACTACAAGGGAGCACAGTGAGCGCAAGGAAGCGCATCAGAGTTAACCCAGCGAGCCATGAAGGCAAGCCAAGCATTCGGATAGGTAGAAGGTGAAGGGGACTCACGTGAACACATTGAGGAAGCACAGCCGGCGATACCGCTCCCTGTGCAATGACCTGCCTGCTCCCGCTGCTGGTTTTGCTGGTTGAACGAGGGCCGAACGGAGGGTCTGGCAGGGAGGAATGGGGTAGGGACACGTAAGCATTGGTACCACGTGACAAGGCGGACGATGTATGATGGCATGCAACACAACCACGTTTGTCAGAGCATCAACCGTAGTACGTGGCAGGGCCAAAACATGGCCCACCCTTGATGCGTATGGTGGTGCTGCCCACTGGTCGCCGCACCTGGTGCAGTCCAAGCAACGCCGTCAGTGTCTCCCCATACTCCAGCATGAGGTGCCATCACCAGCCTTGCCTCACCTTAATGTGGATGGTGGTGCTGCCCGCTGTCCTCCGCACGAGGCGCATTTGAGCCAATGCTGTGAGTGTGACCCCGTACTGCTGCATTACTTGAGGCGTTATCAGCACACTCACACTCACGATTTTGCAGGGTGTTTTGGAGAATTCTAAAAAACACTCACACTCACCGCACTCCCACAAGTCACACCTGGCTCACCTTGATGTGAATGGTGACGCTGCCCACCGCCCGCTGCACGAGATGCAGTCTCATCAACGCTGTCAGTGTCTCCCCGTACTGCTGCACCACTTCAGGCGTTATCACCGCACTGGCAGGCCAGCCCGGGTCGTACCGCAGGCGCACAAAGTCAAACGCATCCAGACCTGATGATGGGTCCGTGGGAAATGGAGAGAGCCAGGCGGTAAGGACGCACTGAGGTGTCAACACCTCAACTGCAGGTCAGCCCGGGTCATACCCAAGCCGCACACTACGTGACCGCAAACGCTCTGGCGGGGCAGCGTTTAGCGTTTAAACGCTAAACACAAAACGCTCGCGTAAACGCTAAATGCTCGGGTAAAAATTTAGGGGCAGCCCGATGAAAAAATCGATCAATTTTTTTTCCACGACATTGTGACCTGGCGAATTCAACTAGACATTCACCAAGTCGCAAATCCCAACCTAGCGACCAAAAAACGCATCCAACTCTTTTGCCCCGCTCAACCGCAAAGCACCCTGTTCATCTACGACCACTCCAACCTAACCACTTTCTCCCCTTCTTCCATCACAATCTCTTCCCCATGAGAAATTGGAACCCTGGAGTTCCGCGCGCCATAGCCGTAGTTCAGATCTAGTCGTCATTCTCTCATCTCCCACGCCCACTCACCCTGGCCACCTAATTTCGCACTAAGTTAAGGGCCCACGCCCATGTCGACCCCCCCTAATGCTGCGACGCTAATCCTACAGCGTCTGCAGCGTCAAATATTTACGAGGCAGAGTCTAATCACGATATTTACAAGCATTACAAAGTTAGAGTTAAGGAGGCCGGGGTTGCCACGGCTAGGGTGGAATGTCGTTATCGCAGGCTGTCTTTTGTTGGCATTCCCAACCGGTGCGCTATGCATTTCGCGGAGTGGGAAGGACAGGGGCGGCGGGAGGTCAAGGAATGTCCCTCGGCGCCAAAGGAGGTGAGGGAGGCAATGCAGGCACTATACGAAGGGAAGGCGTCTGTCAAGGCGCAGAAGCGTAAGGAGGTCGCGGATGCGGTGGAGGCCGTGGGGGGAAGGGGAAAGCGGGGCAAGATAACTACTTATTTCGGCAACGGCGCGGCTTGTGCTAAGCGTGAGGCGGATGCGGCATTGTGCCTCATGTTCGCAGTCCTCCGCATCCCAGAACGTCATGCCGACCACCCACTCTTCGTCGATGCCGTGCATGCGGTCGCTCGTGCGGGAACAACGTATGTGCCACCCAAACGCACGTACATTGGAGGAGCGGGGTTGAAGGAGTGTCGCACCCGCATCGATCTTGCCCTTGATGCACTCAAAGAGAATTGGGAGAGGCATGGCGTCACCGTGGCTTCAGACATGATGACGGACCGGTGCGGGAGGCCGCAAGCGAACGTCATGTTGGTCAATGACTTCGACGCCATGTTTGCCGACTGCATTGACTGCCGCATGGAGACGAAGACAGGCGGGTACATTGCCGGCATCCTCCGCCCTATCATCCAGAAAATCGGGCCTGCGAATGTGGTGGCGCTATGCACGGATGGGGGGAGTAACTACGGCAAGGCCTGCAAGGTGTTGAGGGAGGAGTGGCCGCACATTGAGCATGTGCCGTGCGCCACTCATGTCCTAGACCTGCTCATGGAAGACGTGGGGAAGCAGGCGTGGGCGAAGAGGGTGGTTGAGGGTGCGAACGAGGTGATAAATTACGTCCGCAATCACCACTGGATGAGGAACTTCTTGCGCGAGCCGGGGGAGCTGAGGGGCAAGGTGCTGCAGCTGTTGAAGCCAGCGGGCACCCGATTCGAAACCCAGTACATTGCAGATTTATGAGCTCATGCTCAAACTCACTGTGGACGTGACTGATCTGTTGAAGAAGGAAGACTTGCAGCTGACGCTGGAGGATAAAGAGGGGATTGGGGGGATCATCCAGCATCGGTGGGACGTCAGCATGGCTTGCTCACTGCATGCTGTTGGCCGGATCCTCAACCCGGCCAACCAGGTTGCTAAGATCTTTGGCCCCGACAAGGAGTGCACCGACCTCTTTAAGGAGTTCATTGGCCGATACAGCAACACCATCACCATCGATCGTAAGGAGGCAAAGGAGAAGAGTGCGGTAGTGGTTCTGCAGGAGGGAGTGACTGCATTCCTGAAGCTGAGGGGTTCCTTCGGCAAACCCGACGCAATAGCGCAGCGGCAGAAGGTGAAGGAGGGGAGTCTAAGTATGGAGGACTGGTGGACCTGGCATGGGACCGACCACCCCGAGCTGGCAGAGCTCGCGTGTCGTGTGCTCACGCAGCCGGTGTTTGCATCCAGCTGCAAGCGCGGTTGGGCGGTGTGGGAATTGGTGCACACTGCACGCCGCAACCGTCTCGGGCCTGAGAAGTGCCGGGACTTGGTGTTTGTTGCGCACAACTGGAATGTCGTGCGCAACTGGCACAAAACCAGCGAGGAGACTAAGGCGGTTCTTGCGGGGAACATCCCGGATGCTCCCATTCCAAAAGGATACAACGTCGATGAGGAGGGGCAGTTAGTGGAGGATGAGTATGGAGATGAGCCCGTGCTCGAGGACGAGTATGGGGAGGAGGAGGAGGAGGAGGAGGAGGAGGAGGAGGAGGAGGAGGAGGAGGAGGAGGAGGAGGAGTAGGAGGACACGAGGGAGTGGCGGCGGCGGCTAAGAAGCATGGGGGGCTTTTGGGTAGGAGGGCGGTGGAAGGAAGACGGAGGGTGTTGTTGATTAGAGGGTGGTAGTAGTACATGTGGTTGTCGTTGACATGTGGATTTGACATGCCAAAACTTTTTTATGTGATACAATTTGGAGTAAAAATGTTGTAAACCATAATCCCCTTGCCTCCCCCTACCTATCCCAGGTTTTTTTACCCTGCCCGGGGAAAATTTTACGGCTGCCCGAGCGTGCGTTTACAGTAGCGTTTAGAAACTCAAGCAGGCACGTTTAGCGTTTAAACGCTTCATTTAAAACGCTAAAAGCGTTTGCGGTCACGTAGCCGCACACAATCAAGTGCACCCATACCTGGTGATGGGTACAAGGGGGGACGGCAGGAGGCATTCAGTGTGACCAAGTAAGCAACTCAGATGGCTCGTACCCCAGCCGCACACAGTCAAACGCAACCAGACCTGGTGATGGGCCACCCATAGGCAATGGGAGAGAAAGCAACGAGGGATGCACTGACGCGTTATCGCCGCACTGGCAGGCCATATCCCATGCCCTCATACCCCGTGCCCTCATATCCCGTGCCCTCATACCCCGTGCCCTATACCCCATGCCCTCATCCCGAGCTCCGCGGGCTCCACGTCAGCCTCTTGCTGCCTCTGCCCGCTCCCAGGTCTCCCGGCTATCATGCAATAATTCATCACGGATGCGGTCATCTGTCAGCAAGAGCGACACTCACGGTGGGCAGACAACGGGCTCCACGTCAGCCTCTTGCTGGTACTGCCCACTCCCAGCAGTCCCGGCACTGCTGATGCTGGGTGAGCGGGCGACGGTGATAAAGAGGAGCGGGAGGAGGCGAGGGAGGAGGGCGCGATGAAGGCATGGAGGGGGGATGGGGAGGAGGAGGTGGCGGAGGAGGCGGAGGAGGCGAGGGAGGAGAGGCAGCCTCGGGAGATGGCAGAGTCAACGGCGGAGGAGAGCGCGTGCTGCTGCTCTGTGAGCGTGCGTAGGCTGGCCCAGTTCTGTGGTGGGGCGGGTGTGGGGTGGTGGTGAAGGGGAGAGGGGAAGGAAGGAGCAGCGCACTCGTAAGTGAGATGGCAGAGTAAAGGGCGGAGCAGAGCGCGTGCTGCTGCTTTGGTAGGGTACGCAGGCATGCCCAGTTCTGTGGTGGGGTAGGGAAATGGGGGATGGGAGAGGGAGGAGGGATGGATGGAAGGACCAACACACATGTAAGTGAGATGGCAGTGTCAAGAGCAAAGGAGATCAAATGCTGCTGCTCTGGTAGGGTGCATAGGCTGGCACAAATCTGAAGTGGGGCAAGGAGAGGCAAGAAGGGAGAGAGAGCGGATGGAAGCAAGAGGAAGCAACCAAGGGAAACGGAAAAGCACGTGGTTCTGCTCAGGCAGTGTGCGCACGTGGCCCAGTGTCTCAGGAAGCGTGGTGTCCCGAGAAGTGTAGTGTCCCGGGAAGCGTAGTGTCCCAGGAAGCGTAGTGTCCCAGGAAGCGTAGTGTCCCAGGAAGCGTAGTGTCCCGGGAAGCGTAGTGTCCCAGGAAGCGTAGTGTCCCGGGAAGCGTAGTGTCCCAGGAAGCGTAGTGTCCCGGGAAGCGTAGTGTCCCGGGAAGCGTAGTGTCCCGGGAAGCGTAGTGTCCCGGGAAGCGTAGTGTCCCGGGAAGCGTAGTGTCCTGGGAAGCGTAGTTTCCCGAAAAGCGTAGTGTCCCGGGAAGTGTAGTGTCCCGGGAAGCGTAGTGTCCCAGGAAGCGTAGTGTCCCGGGAAGCGTAGTGTCCCAGGAAGCGTAGTGTCCCGGGAAGCGTAGTGTCCTGGGAAGCGTAGTGTCCCGGGAAGCGTAGTGTCCCGGGAAGCGTAGTGTCCTGGGAAGCGTAGTTTCCCGAAAAGCGTAGTGTCCCGGGAAGTGTAGTGTCCCGGGAAGCGTAGTGTCCTGGGAAGCGTAGTGTCCCGGGAAGCGTAGTTTCCCGAAAAGCGTAGTGTCCCGGGAAGTGTAGTGTAGTGTCCCGGGAAGCGTAGTGTCCTGGGAAGCGTAGTTTCTCGGGAAGCGTAGTGTCCCGGGAAGCGTAGTGTCCCGGCAAGCGTAGTGTCCTGGGAAGCGTAGTGTCCTGGCGAGCGTAGTGTCCCAGAAAGCGCAGTGTCCCGGGAAGCGTAGTGTCCCGGGAAAGCCTAATATCCCAGAAAAACATAGTATCCCTGGAAAGCCAAGTGTCCCAGGGAGCACAGTGTCCTGGGAAAGCACAGTGCCACTAGCCCCCCCTGCCATTATTTTTTTGTGCCACTAGGCCCCCGTGCCACTTACCCCCCACCCATGCCACTACCCCCCTGTGCCACTAGCCCCCCGTGCCACCTGCCACTCGTGCCACTATACCCCCAGGCCACTACCCCCCCTTGACACTTCCCCCCCGTGCCACCAACACCCCCTGCCACCAACCCCCCGTGCATCTAGCCCCCCGTGCCACTCCCCCCATGCCACTATCCCACCCTGCCACTAGCCCCCCATGCCACTTGGCCCCCGTGCCACTAGCCCCTGTGCAACTAAGCCCCCGTGCCACTAGCCCCTGTGCAACTAACCCCCTGTGCCACTACCCCCCGTGTCACTAGCCCCCCGTGCTACTACCCCCCCGTGCCACTATCCACCGGTGCCACTACCCCCCCGTGCCACTAGCCCCCCATGACACCGGCCACCCGTGCCGCTAGCCCCCCCTGCCACCAGCCCTCCATGCAACCAGCCCCCCGTGCCACTACCCCCACGTTCCACTAGCCACCCGTGCCACTAGACCCCCGTGCCACTAGCCCCCTTTTCCACTACCCCCCCGTGACACTACCCTCCCCGTGCGACTAACCCCCTGTGCGACTACCCCCCCCTGCCACTAGCCACCCGTGCCACTAGCCCCCCATGCCACTAGCCCCTCGTGCCACTAGCCACCCGTGCCACTAGCCTCCCATGCCACTAGTCCCACGTGCCACTAGCCCCCCGTGCCACTATACCCCCCTGCCACTACCCCCCTTTGCCACTAACCCCCCCTGCCACTACCCCCCCTGCCACTAGCCACCCGTGCCACTAGCCCCCCCTGTCACTAGCCCCCCGTGCCACTATACCCCCGTGCCACTACCCCCCTCTGCCACTAACCCCCCCTGCCACTACCCCCCCGTGCCACTAGCCCCCTGTGCCTGTGCCACTAGCCCCCCCTTGCCACTAGCCCCTCGTGCCACTAGCCCCCCGTGCCACTAGCCCCCTGTGCCACTAGCCCCCCGTGCCACTAGCCCCCTGTGCCACTAGCCCCTCGTGCCACTACCCCCCTGTGCCACTAGCCCCCTGTGCCACTAGCCCCCCCCTGCCGCTAGCCCCCCCTGTCACTAGCCCCCCGTGCCACTAGCCCCCCGTGCCACTAGCCCCTCGTGCCACTTGCCCCTCGTGCCAATAACCCCTTGTGCGACTAACCCCCCATGCCACTAGCCCCCCGTGCCACTAAACCCCGTGCCACAAGCCCCCCGTGCCACTACCCCCCCCTGCCACTAGCCCCCCGTGCCACTAGCCCCCCCCCGTGCCACTAGGCCCCCATGCCACTTGCCCCCTGTGCCACTAGCCCCCCCTGCCACGACCCGCCGTGCCACTACCCCCCATGCCACTAGCCCCCCAAGCCACTAGCCCCCCGTGCCACTAGCCCCCCGTGCCACTAGCCCCCCGTGCCACTAGCCCCCCGTGCCACTAGGAGCAAGGCTCGCCATACCATGCACGGCTCACCACAGAGTGCAGGGCGTGCAGGAGAGCAGAGGGTAGGTTGGAGTGGTGGGAGAGGAAGAGGCGCCTCAGCGCTGCACAGTGCTCCCTGTAGCGACCCGTGCTGAGCAGCAGATGCACCATGGCTCGACTCACTACAGTGTGGCTGGAAGCGGGAGAGGGGGCGAGGCGAAGAAATGTGGGAAAGAGAGGGTGTCTACTTTGTGAGCTTAAAGGTGCAGTAAGGCCCACAACAGTACGCGATACCATGTCATGTTGATTGCATCTCAATCTTCCTTGCATCCCAACATACATACCTCGCCCGTATGGGCAGCAGCATGTGAGCATCGACCACATCATTGAAGCTCCCATCTCTTTCTGTCCCAGACAAGCCCATGAGCCTCCTCTCCTCATCCGTCACACTGCCGTCTCCCCGTGCTGCTGCTGCTGCTCCCCCATGCCCACCCTGCTTCCCTCCCTGATTCCCACCATGCCACTCGACGCCCTTCTCTTCTCGCCTCCCATTGCCTGCCGCTGCTCCCTTCTGTCCTCCCTTCTTGGCTCCCGTCTCTCCTCCCTTCTCTTCTCCCTTTTCCCCTGCCTGCGTCTTCTCCTTCAGCCCATCATGCTCCTGCTGTGGTTCTCCATCTGAGCCTTCCACCCTTCCCCCACACGCACTCTGTCCAGCTGTCCCATGCCCCAGTGCATGTATCCCCACATCACTCCCATGCCCCAGTGCATGTATACCCACACCGCCCCCATGTTTCAACGCATGCTGCAGCACTGCATGCCATGAGATGCCACCAACACCATGCAACACACCACCGCCAGAAGCATCCCCATGACAAGCATCCTCTTTACAAGCCATCCACGTCCAGGGGAAGGCAGGGCCAGAGCGCGGGTCTGTGAGGCGCATCATGGCAGTGCACTCCAGCCGTGCCTGCTGCAAGGTGGCACTGGGGGAGGTGGGACTGGGAGCAGTGGGGCTGGGGAAGGTGGTATCTGAGATGTCTGGTGCTGATGCTGGTTTAGCAGCAGCAGTGGTGACACTTGCACTGTGTTCTGGCAGGGTCTTAAATGCATGCACAGGGGCAAGCAGGCTGGATAGAGGAGGTGGGTGCGTGCCCTTCCAGGGCCAATCAGCTGCTGCCACGTCATCCCCAGGTGCATGCCAAGAGGGGTCATGCGACCATCCACAGGCGCTGCAGATCTGCTCGCTCCCTCGATCCTTCCCCCCATGCCCTCGATCAGCCTCCTCACCCTCCCTCCCCAACGCTTGTCCTGCCTTTGCTGCATGGGAAGATGCCAACCAAGCAGCACCAGGAGGGGGGCGCAATGGTGTTGATGCTGCCACTGCTGCTGCTAAGCCACCTGCTGCCACGCCCGCCACATCTGCTGCAAATGACTCTGTGCCTGTCACTGCTGCTTCTGCTGTTGATGTTCCTTCCACTGCTCCTACTTCAGCCACAGCCAGCAGCACACCTCCTGGCACCCCTATCTGTCTCGGGACCACATGATCCACGTCAGCAATCCGAACCACTTCTTCTGCACCTGACCGAGGCTCCAGGGCGTCCAGAAGCTCACGAACCTGCAGCTCAGCTTCGGCAAGCCGGTGCTGGATGGCCTCTCTGGTTCGGGCCACCCCAGCCAGGGTAAAATCGATGGACCAATCGGATGCAAGAACTGTAAGAACGTGACCTGACTTTTTCCCATTAGGTGACAAAGAGGGGAGGGGGTGTGAGTGGGGGAGGAAGAGGGAGGAGAGGAGCGAGGAGAGGCGGCGGACGAGCTGACGGACGGGGGGGGATGGGGCGGAGAGGAGAATGGCCTGCTGCTGTGCTGTTCTTACAACGAGGTGTGACACTGGATGGAGGAACGACGGCAGCAGGTAGTTGATCTGGTTGGGAGGGAGGGGCAGAGGCAAGGAGACGGAGGGGATCACGTAAGTGCAGATGAAAAGCGGGAGAATTGGACTGAGGTACGAGAGAGGAAGAGTCGTGGAGCATTGGGTTCTTGCATGCCAGCTTCCCAGCAACCTACCATGGGGTGGGTGGGAGGGGGGGAGGTGACAACCCTTGCCACTCGGCGAGAAACCTTGCAAAGTCGGGAGTCGGGACACGAGCACCCCGCATCAAGACGCACCTTATTCGGCTGGGGGAAGTGCGTTGTGCTCCTGGCGTCGCCACCCCCTGCAGTGAGGGCAGAGAGGAAGTGAGGCGTGCCCGGTGCCGCACAGGGCGTGTATGGGGACGGGCACACAGGGGCCGGTGAGCGCACTTGCGATGCTGTGAGTCCTCGAGAATGGGTAATCCCTCGAGATGGTGTAACCGCGCGTGCTGGGGTAACCATGCATGATGGGGTAACCATCTGCAAAGGGGTTTGGAGGCTGCCAGCAACACCAGAAGCAGCAGCAGCAGCAGCAGCAGACGCATGGGGTTTGAGCGGAAGCAAGGCTGGGAGGTCACCGGACGCCATGGTGCGGTGCAGGTGGCACACGAGGGGCCGGCATGAGGACAAGAACAGCCACCGCACCGCCTCTACCCATGGCTCCCCTCCGCTTCCACCTGCCGGCCTTTGCCTCTGCCTGCTCGTGCTGCTGCTGCTGCTGGCGCTGGTTATTCTGATGGTGTTGGTGGTGCTGTCGGCATGTGCTGTCGTGAGCTTGAGGGTGTTGTGGAGGGACGACAGCAGGGCTGCAGCTTTGCTGCTGCGGGTTGGTGCTCTGGCACGCATGCCTCTGCTGCCACTGCTGCTCGCATACGCATGGTCCATGGCATGCGTGCCTGGGGTCAGGGGCATGCCATGCGCGGCTGGAGTAAGCAGCATGCCACGTGTGCCTGGGGTCAGGGGCATGCCATGCGCGGCTGGAGTAAGCAGCATGCCACGTGTGCCTGGGGTCAGGGGCATGCCATGTGTGCTTGAAACTGGAGGCGTGACTGCCTGAGGGAACTGGTACATCATCGACCATGCATCACCTCTCCCATCATCCCCAATCCCCCACCCTCCTCCCGCCTGTTCCACCCGCGCCTTCCCACTTTCATCCCCTGCCCCACTCTCCCCCTCCGTAGCTTCCATCCCCAGCTGCAGCACCAGCCGTCGCAGCTGCTCTCTCAGCGGACTGGTCCATATTGCCAGAAGAGGAAGAGCGTCTGAAGCACGTGGCGCAGCCCCTGCTGCAATCCCGTCTACTGCTGCTGCTGCTGCTGCTGCCCTGCCTGGAGCAGCTACTTGTGAGCGTGCAAGGCGTTGGGCGGATGCTGATGCTCCTGGGGAGGCAGAAATAGCAGCCACGCATGCCTTGGCGACGTGGGTGATCCCGGCCTCGTACTGTGCGAGGATGAGTGACAGCGCCCGGCCAAAACCCCTCAGCACCGCGCCATCCTCTGCTAAAACCGAACCGAATGCCCCTCCTGCGCCTCCAGCCCCTGCTGCACGTGCATCACTTGGATCCACTGCACCTGCCCCTCCTGCGCCTGCCCCTCCTGCGCCTGCCCCTCCTGCACCTGCCCCTCCTGCACCTGCCCCTCCTGCCCTCACGGCGCTCCCCTCTGACCTCTGCTCTCCAAGTCGTGCCCTGGCTACTGCTGCTCCTGCTGCCGTGCCCCTCAGACTACCACGACCATGATGCTGTCTGTCTTTGCCCCACGCACTCTCCTCTTCCCCCTCACTCTCATCATCGCTCTCCCCCCCTGTCCACCCAGGTCCCCACAGCTCTTCACTCTCTGAATCCCAGTCCGAGCCCTCCCCATCACTGCCGTACCCACTCCCCTCCTCTCTCTCCCTCCAATCTCCATCCCTCCCCACACCACCGCCACCATAACGGCTGCCACCGGCACTTCCAGAATCCACAGCTTGCTGCACCATTCTGCATTCAGCCAGGGGGCACGGAACGCTGGACAGCTGGCCTTCCAGGTCAGCAGGCACACGTGGCATGCCCCAGGCTGCTGCTGCCGCTGCTGCATCGGCAGCAGCAGGTGGAGCCTGCAGCGAGGCTGCCAGGCAGTGCAGTCTCCGATACACGTGCCCATCCGCCACCATCTCCCCCAGCACCAGCTCCTCCATCCCCCGCCTCTGCACGCCCCTTGCAACCCGCGCCTCCTGCTGTCCAGACCCCAGGTAGGCAGGAGAAAATCCACCTGAAGCTGGTCTCCTCTCTTGAGGTTTCTTATGAAACAAGAAATCCTGAGGGCTGGGCGCGGGGATGGCAGGCGCAGCAGGTGCAGCAGGTGCAGCGAGTGCAGCGATGCGCTTCTCAAGGACGTAGAGGGCGGCGGGCTGGCCTCTGAGAGCACACACCGCCACGTCCGCCAGGGCGTGCGGATGCTGGCGAGGGGAAGGGGGGAGGGGAATCGGTGAATGGGGGGAGGGGAGCGTGGAGAGAGGAAGGGGCATGAGGGAGGTGAATGGAATGCATGGGGATCCAGCAAGGGCAAAGCGGCAAATCTGAGGGAGAGTAAGTACGGTATGGCAGTGCGGATGGAATACTTTGCTGCAGCAAGTACCGACCGTCATGCACCCTCTCTCTCCTCCTGACAATGCCCTGTCCTCCGCACTGCCAGCACAGGCAGCAACGAGCCGTCCGGCCTCTTCCCTTGAACCCCACGCCCGATCTCCCCCTCTGCTCGATTCCCTTTCACTCCCGCCTGCTCCTTTTTCTTTCTCTCCCGTCTGCGCCTGATAGCCTTTCAGAGGACCAATCTCGCCTTCGGAAGCACATTCTCTCACTCCTGCATGAGCCTGAGAGTGAGACTGATAGCAAGGAGGCGGGTAAAGGTCTGCCAGGGTGACCACCGGCCTAGCAGATGGCAAACAGTAGCCCCACTCCCCACGCATCTTCGCCTCCAGATCCGCGATTCCCGGAGCAGACTGACACGTGGACATCATCTGCATCTTTCCCGCGATGCCAGATGTCACTATCGGATTCGGCGTCAGTGGGCGCAACATCATGTCCAGCATCCAATGACTCTTGGGAGCCTGGCTGCTCCCCATTGCGGGAGCTACATCGGCGCGCAGCTCGGAACCTAACGTCCAGTGCATCCCAAAAATTAGGGTGGCAAAAAGATACCTCTAAGACTGCCGCAGGTAACCTGAGGGTTTCGCGCTGGGGGGTAACCCTGGGGCTTCCGACTGGGTGACCTTGGGGAAGCCGACGGTCTAAATGCCTTTCGATGTGACCCGTGGGAAACCCACGATGTAACCCCTTTCCCAAACCTTCGGGTCACCCTCAAGTGACGTCAGGGGGAACATGAGGGTTACATTTTTCCGAGGCGCGACCTTGATACACAGTTACTCGATACGCGCACTATAATTGTAATACACCTCTCAAATATAATATAGGCATCCTTTTTCCAAAAATCATATTGGTAAATCCAATGTTCGTTCTTATCCAATGTCCATTCGCTAATAGTGAAACTGATCGATTTCAATAAATTGTTTTGACCAACAGTCACATTTATCGTTTCCGGATTTACAACATGTTATTGATAATACATACAACACACAAATATTTTAGACTACAACGAAATGGTTCATATCTCCGTGGAGGTGGCAGCTAGTAATCTGAATGCACGTAACCTGCAAATGATGGAAACAGAAGGCAATAAGCAAAACTTCTCAGGAAGAATAGAAGGGAAAAATAAAAATAAATAGTACTAAAGAAACGCTTCACTTACAGTTAGCCTCACAAAAGAGGATGGGCATGACACACCTCGAAACTCTGTACAGCTCCTGCTCCTGTAGGAAAAGAAACTTCGCAAAATGGCATGGCTGTCGTGGTGAATCAAGACGAAAAAGCGGGCATACACAGGTAAGCAGTGGCAAACCGCAAATATATGCCTTACCTTTCATCGTAAACAGCAGTGAGCCGCTGTCGGAAAAGAGACGAGTTGTGGGAAACAGCCATGTCGATCATGTGCCATCACCTGAATAAAGACAACAACGGCAGAGGTCCAAATTCCTGAAAGAACATTTGCCTACGTTCTGGAAAAACGGGAATAAGATACGGTTTGAAGTGACAAAACGTCTTAACACAAATGCTAGCGTCCGACTAAAGACCAGGCAAGAATGTGAGCTGCGAACGAGGCAAAACCAAAAACAGGGAATCAAACATATGCACTCGAGTGAGTTACGGGTCCACGCGCACAAAAAAATACCTGGGGTATTCGCACAGGTACGACATTGATGAGGTGACTGTCCGAGGGCCGCGGGCTTGGGTATCCGAGAGAAGCATAGAAAAGTGTATATCGTTCATTCAGAAAATACGAAAGGCGGGGAGCGGCACACTGCATTTCGTTGAAAGAAAGTAACACATGAAAAGCAGAGATGCAAACACCAAGTGATGCGCTTCAGATCGCCTTCAGAAGTTTGGACGACAACAGAAGTCTCTAACTTCTGAAGGCGACCTCACCCTAACTCAGCCAACGTAGTTGATGTGAATGGTGAAACTCCAAGGTTGAGAGGTAGAGACTTCCGTGAGAAGCATTGAATGGCTAGATACAGGGTTGAGTTCAGATTACACCGACGGAAAGTATTGCCCGGATAAAATCCAATTTTAGGTTCAACAAATGATTTGAATGCTTTCAACCGATGTATCGTTGAATCTTCAAAGCTGACTAGTAAGTAACGAGTGCCAGCTGCATTAGGGTAACACGTTTTTAGTTTGTAGTGGTCGCACTAATAGCGTAAACAACATTTCAGTCGCGTGAGTGCATCCGGACAGTTTCGGCCAAGCAGCGGACTAGATCCGTTTTCGACTAGCTCATTCTCTCCATAGTTCCGAACGCTATCGTCGCGTAGTCAGAGAAGAGTTTATACCCGAGGCGTAGACTACGCCAAGATGAGACTGATAGATGAGGCTCGTCGCGCCCGGATCATAGCACTGTTGCGTAGGGGGTACAGCACGAGGCAAATCGCGAAACAGGTTGGCGTTGGCAAAAGCACAGTACACGATGTCGGACTCAAGGCGATTTCAGAGACTAGTCTTGAGGATGTACGTCCTACAATGCCCACTGCTGGTCGTCCACGCGTACTTACGAATAGAATTCGTCGTGGGATCGTTAGGCCGATCACTAGCGGCGAGGCGAAAACCTCGAGGCATGCGGCCCAGATCGTCGAATCCCAGCACGGCATCACAGTGCATCCTAGGACGGTGCGTAATGCGCTCAAAGCCAGCGGCCTTATCGCAGTTGAGCAGCCTAAGAAGCCGCGACTCTCCAAGAAAAATATCCGCGATAGGCTGGCGTTCGCACGGGCCCACGCGGATTGGACCATAGATGATTGGCGACGGGTGATATGGTCGGATGAGACGAGGATTAGTAGGTTCGGCTCTGACGGCCGCGCGTACGCCTGGGTTCGTGAAGGTACGACTCTCCAACACCACCAGATCAAGCAAACCGTTAAACACGGGGGCGGAGGCTTGATAATATGGGGATGTATGACGTTTCAGGGGGCGGGTTTCATGTACAAAATCGATGGTCGGATGGATGGGCCGTTGTATCTGAGCATTTTGCAAGACGAGCTGAAGAAAACCATCGACTTTTACAAGCTAACCCCCTCGGCTGTGATCTTCCAGCATGATAACGACCCCAAGCATAAGTCCCGTGTGGTGCAGCAGTGGCTTCAGGAGCAGGAGTATGGGGTCCTGGAGTGGCCGGCAGGAAGTCCCGATCTGAACCCCATTGAGCATCTTTGGGCTCATCTTAAAAGGGAGCTGGGTAAGCATGAGACACCTCCCACTGGTATGGTGGACCTGTGGGAGCATGTACAAGAGGAGTGGGAGAAGATCCCATCAGAGGTGTGCTCCAATTTGATCGACAGCATGCCCAGGAGGGTGAAAGCAGTGATTAGGGCTAAAGGGCGGTGGACCAGGTACTAGTTTAAGGGTTGTTTAAGTTGCTGCTTCCGCCTGGAACTAATTGTCCACATGCACTGTGATTGGTTATGTTTGCTTTTTACTTCAAACCATAGTAGTTTCATCAACTGTGTAGCATTTTTTTGTGTCCCTAGATTGGCCTGCATATAGTGGGTAATGCCTCTAATTAAGGCTTAATGTACAAATGCCCTTTAATGTAGGGAATTCAAAAAATTGCCAGACATGTGGACAACTCTTTCCGTGAGTGTATGTCCACTGCTAGGAGCCAGCTTAGCACAACGAAGAACCTGAGTTTGGGGTTGTATTTCGTGGTTTGAGTTTCTGAGTTCGTTCTGAAGTACTGTCAGTTGAATACCAACTTCTCGTGGGAATATTGCGCCGACATGCTTTGTAAAAGCTTCTTCTTTCGACTCTCAGATTAAAAATCTTCGCGAAACCGCCTCGCAGAACTCACCCCGCCTTTTCGTTCCGTCCTTACCAAGCCAAGTGATGTCGCATGAGTTTCCAACCGACGAATCGGTGAAAACGCTGGTGTCCGCTCATTGGTTAGCTGTTGGGAGACCTCACCCATCAATCTCGTACGCGTAAAAGTGGCCCCGTCTAGGGTCATACAAGTTTTAAATTTACGTAAAACTAGTTTTCCACATCGCTGTACACACATGTTTGCAATTGAATACAAAGCCAGTACGAAACCAGACCTGAGCTTCGGATCTTGCTATTGGTCAACACAAAATGATGGCTTGGGCCAAACCATCGAGCCCAACACCAGCTTCGTAAGCAGCTCTTGATTGGTTGTAAGTTTTCGTGACGATTGGTAACGAATTGTTTTGCCAGGGTAACATCTTCGCCTTGCGCACAGGTTTCTCCTGGCACTCATGGGCGGAACAATAGGGCATCTTGGCGTAGGACACCTGTGGGTATCCCTCGCCCCCAAGGCCGTTTTGCCTTCGCAGAATTTTGGGATGTGTATCATCCCTATAAGATCACCATATGAATCTAGCCCGTTGCGTCTTGGCTCGATCAGGTCAATCTCACGAAGGCGAGTTGTTGTCAATCGATTAGGGCGTTGTTCGGATTTGGATCCAAAGATTAGGGCGCGTAACATCTCAATACGAACAACGCCAGAACCCGAACAAAACGCCAGGTTACGAATTTCGTCAATGTCGCAAAAGCCGTCGTGAATGTGTCGCGAAATATCGGAGAATACCCCAAATGAGAGGACACAGACCGTTCGAATAGCGGCATTCGAGCGGTCCGGCATGCACCGTTCGAAAGATGCTCCCTCCCGCGTTACACTCCCCTGACGAGCACCTGTCAATTCCCAACTGTGGCGAGTGTGGCGAAGGGCGTTTCCTCGCACGTTGTCGCATGCGTTCAAACAAATTCACGGGTTTAGGGTTTAGGGTTTTAGGGTTTAGGGTTTAGGGTTTAGTAGGGTTTAGGGTTTAGGGGTTAGGGTTTAGGGTTTAGGGTTTAGGGTTTAGGGTTTAGGGTTTAGGGTGTAGGGTTTAGGGTTTAGGGTGTAGGGTTTAGGGTTTAGGGTTTAGGGTTTAGGGCTGTGCAGAATTTTGCCCGTTTTGCCTTCGCAGAATTTTGGGATGTGTATCATCCCAGGGTTTAGGGTTTAGGGTTTAGAGGGTTTAGGGTTTAGGGTTTAGGGTTTAGGGTTTAGGGTTTAGGGTTTAGGGTTTAGGGTTTAGGGTTTAGGGTTTAGGGTTTAGGGTTTAGGGTTTAGGGTTTAGGGTTTAGGGTTTAGGGTTTAGGGTTTAGGGTTTTAGGGTTTAGGGTTTAGGGGGTTTAGGGTTTAGGGTTTAGGGTTTAGGGTTTAGGGTTTAGGGTTTTAGGGTTTAGGGTTTAGGGTTTAGGGTTTAGGGTTTAGGGTTTAGGGTTTAGGGTTTAGGGTTTAGGGTTTAGGGTTTAGGGTTTAGGGTTTAGGGTTTAGGGTTTAGGGTTTAGGGTTTAGGGTTTTAGGGTTTAGGGTTTTTAGGGTTTAGGAGGGTTTAGGGTTTAGGGTTTAGGGTTTAGGGTTTAGGGTTTAGGGTTTAGGGTTAGGGTTTAGGGTTTAGGGTTTAGGGTTTAGGGTTAGGGTTTAGGGTTTAGGGTTTAGGGTTTAGGGTTTAGGGTTTAGGGTTTAGGGTTTAGGGTTTAGGGTTTAGGGTTTAGGGGGGTTTAGGGTTTAGGGTTTTAGGGTTTAGGGTTTAGGGTTTAGGGTTTTAGGGTTTAGGGTTTAGGGTTTAGGGTTTAGGGTTTTTTTTAGGGT